GTGTCTTCAAGATCCTTAAGGGGGAGGGTGAGCAACCAGCAGTCATGGTACACATCGGTACCAATGACGTAGGGAGTAAAAGGACTGAGAATGTGAAAAACGAGTACAGGGAGTTAGGTTGGAAGCTGAAGTTATCTCTGAAGGGTAGTTATCTCTGGATTACTACCAGTGCCACGTGATAACGAGGTAAGAAATAGGGAGAGAGTGCAGCTAAACACGTGGCTACAGGGCTGGTGTAGGAGGGAGGGCTTCCATTATGTGGATAATTGGAGCACATTCTGGGGAAGGTGGGACCTGTACAGTAAGGACGGGTTGCACCTGAACCGGAAGGGCACAAATATCCTGGGAGGGAGGTTTGCTAGAGCTGTACGGGATGGTTTAATCTAGTTTGGCAGGGGGTGGGGAACCGGATTTATAATTCAGAGGATGAGGTATTCGGCCTTCCAACAGACACAACAGGGAGTGAGGTGGTTTGTAAAGAAATGCGGTCGATGGAGCGTAATTGCGGACACCGAGATGGTTTGAGGTGTGTATACTTCAATGCTGGAAGTATCAGAAATAAAGTGGATGAACTTAGAGCATGGGTCGGTACTTGGAACTACGATGTTGTGGCCATTACAGTAACTCAGGGAGAGGAATGGTTGTTGGAAGTTCCGGGATTTAGATGCTTTAAAAGAAATAGGGAGGGTGGAAAAAGAGGTGGGGGAGTGGCATTGCTAGTCAGGGCGAGTATAGCAGCTACTGAAAGGTAGTTCGAGAATGATATGTCTACAGAGTCAGTTTGGGTTGAGGTCAGGAACAAGAAAGGAGCAGTCACTTTGTTGGGGGTTTTTTACAGACCCTCTAATAGCTGCAGAGAAGTAGAGGAGCGGATTGAGAGGTAGATACTGGAAAGGTGCAGAAGTCACAGGGTTGTAGTCATGATAGGATTAAGGAAAACTCCAAGGCTTCTTACACGTATGTGCAGAACAAGAGAATGACCAGAGAAAGGGTACAGCCGATCAAGGATTGTAGAGGGAATTTGTGCACAGAGCCTAAAGAGAAAGGAGAGGTCCTTAATGAATACTTTTCTTCAGTATTCACAACTGAGAGGGACCTAGTTGTAGAGGAGGACGTTGTGAAACAGGCAGGTAGGCTCGAGGAGGTTGATGTTAGTTAAGAAGATGTACTAGGAATTCTGAGGAAGTTGAAGATAGATAAGTCCCCCAGGCTTGATAGGATTTTTCCAAGGATTCTATGGGAAGCGAGGGACGAGATCGCAGGGTCTTTGGCGATGATCTTTTCGTCCTCACTGTACATGGGTATAGTGCCGGAAGATTGGAAAGAGGCAAACGTCATTCCCTTGTTCAAAAAAGGGAACAGGGATAACCCCGGAAATTACAGGCCAGTTAGTCTTACGTGGGCAAATTATTGGAAAGGGCTCTGAGAGACAGGATTTATGATCGCTTGGAAAGGCACAGTTTGATTCTTGATAGTCAGCATGGATTTGTGAGGGGTAGATCATGCCTCACAAACCTGATTGAATTCTTTGAAGAGGTGATCAAACACGTGGCTGAAGGTGGAGCAGTGGATGTGGTATACATGGATTTAAGAAAGGCGTTTGATAAGGTTCCCCATGGTAGGCTGATGCAGAAGGTAAGGAGGCATGGGATAGGGGGAAGTGTGGCAGAATTGGCTGGCCCTTAGAAGGCAAAGGGTGGTAGTGGACGGAAAATATTCAACATGGTGCTCAGTTACGAGTGGTGTACCACCAGGATCTGTTCTGGGTCCTCTTCTATTTGTGATTTTTGTAAATGATTTGGATGAAGGAGTGGAAGGGTGGATTAGCAAGTTCGCAGACGATACGAAGGTGGGTTACGTTGTGGACAGTGCGGAGGGCTGTTCCAGGTTATAAAGGGACAATGATAGAATGCAGAGCTGGGCTGAGAAGTGGCAGATGGAGTTTAACCCCGAAAAGTGTGAGGTGATTCATTTTGGAAGGACAAACTTCAAAGCAGAATACAGGGTTAACAGAAAGATTCTTGGCAGTGTGGAGGAGCAGAGGGATCTTGGGGTTCATGTTCACAGTTCCCTGAGAGCTGCCACCCAGGTGGATAGAGTTGTTAAGAAGGCATATGGTGTGTTAGCTTTCACTAATAGAGGGATTGAGTTCAAGAGTCGTGAAGTTATGCTCCAGCTATACAAAAGCCTGGTTCGGCCACATCTGGAGTATTGTGTCCAGTTCTGGTCACCTCATTACAGGAAAGATGTGGAAGCATTAGAAAAGGTGCAGAGGAGTTGACCAGGATGTTGTCTGGAATGGAGGAAAGTCTTACAACAAAAGGTTGAGAGAGCTAGGACTTTTCTCTTTAGAACGACGAAGGATGAGAGGTGACTTGATAGAGGTGTACAAAATGATTAGAGGTATAGATAGAGTAGACAGCCAGAGACTTTTTCCTGGGGTGGAGGTAGCTTTTACGAGGGGACATAGTTTTAAAGTGAAAGGAGGCAGATATCGAGGAGACGTCAGAGGTAGGTTCTTTACTCAGAGAGTGGTAGGGGTGTGGAATACATTGCCGGAGAGGGTAGTGGAGTCGGCCTCAATAGGTGCATTTAAGCGGCTATTAGATAGGCATATGGATGATAGTATAAGGTAGCAGTGGAGGTTAGATAGACCTTAGGTTTAGGGTAAAAGTTCGGCACAACATTGTGGGCTGAAAGGCCTGTACTGTGCTGTACTGTTCTATGAGATAGGTGAGTGCAGGTAGGGAGTGGTGGGGATTGGCCAGTGGGATGGGAGGGGCAGATAGTTGGAAGAGAAGATGAGATAGTAGGAACTGCAGATGCTGGAGAATCCGAGACAACAAGGTGCAGGGCTGGATGAACACAGCAGGCCAAGCAGCATCATAGGAGCAGAAAAGCTGACATTTCGGGCCTAGATCCTTCATCAGAAAAAGGACAGGTTGTGTCAGGTCAAGGAGGCGGGGATGAGAGGGAGGGTTGGTCATGGGATGAGGCCGGGGGTGGGGAGATTTTGAAACTGGTAAAATCCACATTTAGGCCATTGGGCTGTAGGCTCGTGAGGTGGAATATGAGATGCTGCTCCTCCAGTTTGCAGGTGGCGACATTGTGACACTGGAGGAGGCCCAGGATGAACATGTCCCCCAGGGAGTGGGAGGGGGGAGTTAAAATGGTTTGCGACCGGAAGGTGTTGTCGTTTATCGCAAACAGAGTGCAGGCGCTCTACAAAGCGGTCTCCGAGCCTCCACTTAGTCTCACTGACGTAGAGGAGGTCACATCAGGAGCAGTGGATGCAATAGACCCCGTTGACGGATGTGCAGGTTAACCTCTGTCTAATGTGGAAGGTTTGTTTGGTTCCCTGAATGGAGGTAAATGGGGAATTATAGGGGCAGGTGTAGCACTTCCTGCGGTTCCGAGGAAAGATGCTGAGGTGGTGGGGCTAGTAGGGAGTGTGGAGCAGACGAGGGAGTCGCGGAGAGCACGGTCCCTGTGAAAGACAGATAAGTGTGGGGAGGGAAATATTTCTTTGATCGTGGGGTTGGATTGGAAGTGGCGGAGAATGATATGTTGGATACGGAGGTTGGTGGGGTGATATGTGAGGACAAGGGGGATTATGTCTTCGTTTCTGTTGGTGGGAAGGGGAGGTGAGGGCAGAGGTGCAGGAAAAGCAAGAGATACAGTTGAGAGCATTTTTGACCACCAGAGTGGGGGGGTCCTTGAAATAAGAGGACATCTGGGATGTTCAGGAGTGGAACGCCCCATCTTGGGAGCAGACGCGGCGGCAGAGGATTTGGGAGTAGGGGATCGTATTCTTGCAGGAAGGTAGGTGAGAGGAGGTGTAGTTTAGGTAGTTGTGGGAGTCGCTTGAAATTAATGTCGGTTTTGAGGCGGCCACCAGAGATAGAGACAGATAGATCCAGGAAGAAGGTGTAGGTATCGGAGATGGTCCAGGTTTCATTGGTAAACATGTACCTCAGGATTCTTACACTCATTGTGCTATATTAGGTATGTAGGTTGAATGACTAAGCAATTGGTGGTCAGTACCAAACAGCACATTTCTTCGACAGTTCACAACGGACAGAGAACTGATCATGTTTAACCACCTCAGGATTGCAAAACTCTGAACACGGTGTGTAACATCAGATGTGATTCCACAATTACAATGCAATCTTGAATGTGCTAAAACTTTTACTGACAAAAAATTTTGAAACCATCAGTCAGGTTTGTAGTGTTCACTTAGATGTGCTAGAAACTACAAGATGTGGAGGTGCCAGTGTTGAACTGGGGTGGACAAGGTCAGAAGTCACACGACACCAGGTTGTAGTCCAACAGGTTTGTTTGAAATCACAAGCTTTCAGAACACTGCTGCTTTAACAGGTGAAATAAACTTGTTGGACTATAACCTAGTGTCTTGTGACTTCTGACCTCACCCACCCCAGTTCAACACCGGCACCTCCACATCTTAAATTTGACTGCAACTGGTAATCATCGTCTACAAATGCAGTATTCCCCATTGCATTGCCTTGACCATTAGAGTCCCCTTGCCAACCAATCAACATGCAGTATGAAAAATGTCCTCTTCATAGTGTTGTGAATGTCCTGATGAGTGCAAGATGAAAAGGTTTAACGAAATGACTTTTTTCAGCAACACTTAGACCTCTATAAATTCAAGTTATTTTAATTTCGCAATCAACCACTTTATAACTTGCTTTCCTTCTGAACCTCACTCTGCTCTCCTCAGCTTCCATTACTCCATGTTTTTCTTTTAAGATCAGCAGTTTTTTTTAACGTGGATAGCTAGCAGGGGAATGTTTAGAATTATGTGGATACTGTACAGTATTAGGAATTTAGCCATACAGTCCCAACATATACAGTGTATGGGATCATGCTCCACACGGTGGGCAGTAAAACCAATACAAAGGTGTAACTCCTGAAGCTGTGTGAAGTCTTTAGGAAACTGCCAATCAGGGATACATGTAACTTGATGTATTTTCTTATGTAGTTACCAGGGCAAGAGGCCAATGGAGTCTCCGGGCAGTTTTGATCAGCTGACAAACTGCCCGAAGCCAGTGGAGTTTTTAAATGGGTAAGTACTCATTGAACGGCTATTTTGTAATTGACATCTTCGAGACAACATAGAGCCAGTGCTGTTTGCCAATGGAGGAGTTTTCCATGATAATTGTATGGTGTAAATGGTGATGACTGTATTTGTAATCTGCTATATGAATCATTTTGGATTTCCTGCATCTACATTGGAGTAAGGTGAATATGGGAGAATCAGTCTTTTCGCCAGCCTGCGCTGTGACCAACTCAATATTTTCTTCATTCCGGGCAAACCGAAGTATTTGTGGTCCCTGCAGACTTATTTCCTCTTGAATTGCTATATAGGTATCTGTGCATTACTGGTAAAGGAGTATCTCACAGCTTTATTGAGGGAGGATACATCAAAGGATTAGTGCAGCGAGGCAGTATGGTTAGACCTCTGGAATAAGAAAGGTGAAATCACAATGCTGGGGGTATACTATAGGCCTCCCAATAGCCAGCAGGAGATAGAGGAGAGAATATGCAGACAGATTTTTAGAAAGACATCAAAACAGCAGGGTTGTTGTCACGGGTGATTCTAATTTCCCCTGTACTGACTGGGACTCGCTTCGTGCAAGGGACTTGGATGGAGGAGAATTTGTAAGGACCATTCAAGAAGGTTTCTTAACAGTATGTAATCAGTCCAACCAGGGAAGGGATTATAGTGGACCTAGTTTTGGGAAATGAGCCCGGGCAGCTGAGTGAAGTTGCAGTGGTGGAGCATTTTGGAAGTAGTGACCTTAATACTGTGAGTTTTAAGATATTCATGGACAGGGATAAAAGCATCCCTCAGGTAAAGGTGTTAAAATGGGGGAAGGTGAATTATAACAGTATTAGGCAGGAACTGGAGAGTGTTGATTGAAGGCGGCTGTCTAAGGGTAAATCCACATCAGACATGTTAGATTGTTTCAAATGGCAGTTGATAAGAGCTCAGGAGTGGCATGTTCCTGCGAGAATGAAGAATAGGTATGGCAAGTTACATGAATCTTGGATGACCAGGGGATGTTATGATCTTGCTCAAAAAGAAAAAGGAGACATACGTAAGGTCGAAGAAGATGGGAACTGGCAAAGCCCTTGAAGTGTATAAGTAGGAAAGAACTTAAGCAAGGGGCCATGAGGAGTCATTAGTGAACAGGATTGAAGCGAATCCCAAAGCTTTTTATGCATATATAAAAAGCAAGAGGGTAGCCAGGAAAAGGGTTGGCCCACTCAAGGACAAAGGAGACAATGTATGTGTGGAGCCAGAAGAGGTAGGTGAGGTCTTAAATGAATACTTTGTATCGGTATTCAACAAAGAGAAGGAATTGCTGGAGGATGATCTCAGGGAAGGGAGCACAAATTTCTAAGCCAGATTGTTATCAAAAACGAAGACGTGTTGTGCATCTTAAAAAGTATTAAGATAGATAAGTCCTTGGCTCCTGATGGGGTCTATCCCAGGATATTAAGGGATGCATGAGAACAAATTGGTGGAGCATTGACAGACATCATTGTATCCTCTTTGGCCACAGATGAGGTCTCAGAGGGCTGGAGAATAGCCAATGTTGTCCCATTGTTTAAAAAGGGATAATCCACGAAATGACAGGCCCGTGAGCCTCACGTCAGTGGTAGGGAATTTTTGGAAAAGATTCTCAGGGACAAGATCTATAAGCATTTAGAAGGAAATGGACTGATTAGCGATAAACAGCATGATTTTGTGCAGGCAGGTTGTGCCTCACTAAAGTGATCGAGTTTTTTGAGGAGGCGATGAAAATGATTGATGATGGAAAAACAGTTGATGTTGTCTACATAGACCTCAGTAAAGCCTTTACATAAGAACATAAGAACTAGGAGCAGGAGTAGGCCATCTGGCCCTTCGAGCCTGCTCCGCCATTCAATAAGATCATGGCTGATCCTTTCGTGGACTCAGATCCACTTACCCGCGTTCTCACCGTATCCCTTAATTCCTTTATTGTTCAAAAAAAATCTACCTTTTTTTTTAAATCATTTACTTAAGTAGCGTCAACTACTTCACTGGGCAAGGAATTCCATAGATTAACAACCCTCTGGGTGAAGAAATTCCTTCTCAGTTCAGTCCTAAATCTGCTCCCTCTAATCTTGAGGCTATGCCCTCTTGCCCTAGCTTCGCCTGCCAGTGGAAACATCCTCTCTACTTCTATCTTATCTATTCCCTTCATAATTTTATATGTTTCTATAAGATCCCCCCTCAATCTCCTGAATTCCAATGAATATAATCCCAATCTACTCAGTCTCTCCTCATAAGCCAACCCCCTCAACTCCGGAATCAACCTAGTGATTTTCCTTTGCACCCCCTCCAGTGCCAGTACATCCTTTCTCAAGTAAGGAGACCAAAACTGCACACAGTACTCCAGGTGTGGCCTCACCAGCACCTTGTACAGCTGATTGACAAGGTCATGGCAGACAGGTATAAAATGTGAAGTCATATGGTATCAGGGCCAAGCTGGCAAGATGGATACAGAGCTGGCCTTGTCATAGGAGACAGGGGGTAGCAGTGGAAGGATGCTTTTCGGAATGGAGGGCTGTGACTAGTGGTGTTCCACAGGGATCAGTGCTGGGACCCCTGCTGTTCATGATCGACATAAATGATTTGGAGGAAAAAGTTGCTAGTCTAATTAGTAAGTTTGCTGATGATACAAAGAATGGTAGAGTTGCGGATAGTGAGGAGGATTGTCAGAGGATACAGCAGGATTTAGATTAGTTGGAGGCACGGGCAGAAAACTGGTAGATGGAGTTTAATCCGGACAACTGTGAGGTGATGCATTTTGGAAAGTCAATTACAGGTGGAAATTATACAGTGAGTGGTAGAACTCTTAGGAGTATAGATATGCAGAGAGATCTGGGTGTGCAGGTCCACAGGTCACTGAAGGTGGCAGTGCAATTAGATATGATAGTAAAAAAGGCCTATGGCATGCTTGCCTTCATTGGAAGGGGCTTTGAGTATAAGGATAGACAAGTTATGCTGCAGCTTTATAGGACTTCAGTTAGGCCACACTTGGGATGTTACTGTCAGAATAAAAAAAATTACCTTACATGTTATTCTTATGCATCTTCCTATAGCATGTGTTCTAATGGAGGAACTGGAATCCACAGCCAAGCAAGAGAGCATTGCAGCTCAAAGAGACAGAGAAGAAGGGCTCAAAATTTTACTGACAATGACCTACAAACCCTTCTGGATGAAATGCAGCCAAGGAGGGACAGATTGCTTGGTGTGCATGGCAGGAAACCTCAAAAACCTATTTCACGTGCTATGTGGAGGGAAGTGGCAATGGCACTGAATGCCACCTCTCTCACCTCCAGGACTGCAGACCAATGCCGGAAAAAGTTCAATGATCTGACAAGAGCAGGCAAGGTAAAATACTGGTGAAAGAAAAAGAGTTAATGTTTAAAGTTGAAAAATTTTAATCTGGGAAAAGTTAAAAATGCTGACAAGTGAATGTGGGGGCAGTGAGGAGGGAAATAACAAAAGTTGAACTCAATTTTCAGGGTCCAGATCAAACTAACTTAATTTTGTTCCCTTTTTCTTGGTGGATTTTGCTTTGGCTGTAATTTTTCTTTCTTCTTTTGCTTTGAATGAGCAAGTGCTCATCATTCTACTGTTCACACATCATCTATATGAACTGAATTAGCCTTATTGTCACATATACTCAAAAGAGTACAGTGAAAAGTTTATAAGTCCCCACTTACAGTGCCATCTTAGGTACAGAGCACCTATGTACAATCCTTAGTTATAGAGTAGAGAAATGAAGAAAAAAAATTACATTACGGCTATAGACAGTATAACCATAGCTCGGAAAAAACAAGAAGCAAAGTTAAAAAGACAAACATCACAGTCTCTGTCTAAAGGCTGTCCACAACGGACCAACAGAGGGGTCTCCACGTGGTCTGACCGCTGGCTGCTGCCACGCTCCGCACTGGGCCACTGCCCCCACTCCCACATTGGGCCTTCTGTTTTTTACTTGTTCCACTTCCACTAGCTCTGTTTGCCCTATTAATATTTTTGCAATTTTACCTTTTCTGCTTTGGGATGAAGAGATTATTACAGCATCACAGAAATCTTCTGGTTCAGAAAACGGCCGTTCAGCCTATTGTGCATGCACTGGCTCATTAAATCATCATCATTACCCAGAGCCAATCTCCTGCTTATTCCCCATTCCACTGCACATTACTAAAATAATCATCCAGTGCTCTCTAGAATGTCTCTATTGGACCTGCCTCCATCACACTTCAAGTCAGAGTAGAACTAAGGGACACAGTTTAAAAAATTAGGGGTCTCCCATTTATGATGGAAATAAGAAAAGAAAATGTTTTCAGATGCTTATGGGTTTTTGGAATTCTCTTCCCAGAGAGCAGTGGAGACAGAACAATTGAATATTTTTAAGGCAGACTTGGATAAATTGTTGACGAACAAAGGAGTCAGAGATTATGGGAGCAGGCATGAAAGTGGAGTTGATCAGCCATGATCTTATTCAATGGCTGAGGAGGCTCAAGAGACCAGACATGCTGAGTTTCTCCACTATTCTCTGTTTGTTTGAGAGACAAGATGGCTTACTGATCTGAATCCATGTCTTCACCCATCACAGACCTTCCCTTAAAATCTATTATGTTTATAATTTGTTTCTAGTTCTCTTAATGGGTCATCAATCTGAAATGTTAACTCTATGCCAGTCTTCACAGATGCCTTAAGTATTTAAACACATTTTGTTTTACTTCAGGTTTCCAGCATCCACAGTATATTGCTTCTGTAACACACTCTATAATTTAATAACTGCATCACCACTCCTACACTGCCACTGTGCACTTGTGGCATATTGGTAGTGTCCCTACCTCTGAGCCAGGAGTTCTGGTTTTAAGCCCCACATGCCCCGGTTCTAAATCAAAACATGGCTGAACACTGTGATTAAAATAACATATCATGGATATGATTCACTCTCATTCACACCCATCCTAACAAAGGTTAATTGTATGTCACGTGTTTAAAGGGCTCTTGTGGAGCAGTAATGTCCTTATCACTGAGCGAGGAGACCCAGGTTCAAGTCCATTCTGCTTCAGAGGTGTTAATTAACATCTTTGAACAGGTTGATTAGAAAATCTCTGCAAGGCAACTATGGTGAAGGAGAGGCGATGACACTGACTTGAGATCTCACAATATGTGTTTTAAGGTCCTAATGTTAATTCCTCTCATATAACCTTAAATATCCTTTCTGACCTTTGACTACCACATTTAGAACTTCATTTGTTTGATTCTGTCTGGAAGAATGTTTTCAGCTGCTGACTGAAACCTAGTGGCCTATTTTTTTTATAGGAGAAACTCATGCACAATGCCCGCGAGAGGCAGGAGTGCAGAGTGGGCATTCCCAACATTAAGGAGCTCACCCCCTATGAGGAACAGGCCGTGGAACTGCTGGGTAGGCAGTGTGGTCTTGCCGTAGTGGCAGATGGAGAAATCGGTGTAACGGTGCAGACTCCAGGTTAGTGTCATATATATGGATAGACACAATAAAATGGCAGTGCTCCAGTCACTAACCACAGGCTGACCCTAATCTTTTGCGGATTATGTTTAGAGAGTCTCAGCTTGTACTGTTTTTCCTGCAGAGCCATCACAGCAGTGGGGGCCAGAGGATGATGATGATGATGATGATGAAGAGGAGGAGGAGAAACTATGCTACCTCATTAATTATGATGATGAGGAAGAGGATGACGAGAGCAAGCCAGATCGTGAGTCCCTGAAGCTTGATACAGCACCATTTTCCACTGTCCCCATGCCGTCAATTTCACCCCCTGCATCTTTGGCCTTCTCACTCCCACGGTCCGGCTCTGATATGGTCACCAGGGCACGGTTGGACAGTGTTAACGAGGAAGTGGCACTGAGTGATTCCCAAGGCATCAGGGAATCGGATGAGTGGGGAATGGGTGAGGACATGCCACTTCCCCAGAGGAGGCCAAGGAGAAGGATGCCCCTGACCTCAGATCCCTGGGATTCTGATTTCATGGGCACTCGCCCGAAGAGAAGGATGTTCAATGAGCATCATACTTACGTGCAGGCTCTGCGCTCAGTCTTCGAAGATGTGCAGCATCTGACAGCTGTGACTTTGGAGTCTACAGCCCTCATTTGCAACAGCATCAAAGAAGCTTTCACTTCGCTGCAGTCATCAATGGAACACGTGGCAGCTTCATTAGACTCTGCAGCACACCCCAACTTCAGAAATGCACAGGAACCAGTCCATGCCCCCACTCCCACAGAAGTGCAAAATGCTGCCTTGTCAGTAATTGGGGAGAAAATAGACAGCACTCTACGTGTTGGTTTTCAGAGTCTTGGGGCTGGGATCCAAGCTGCTGTGTCTCACGGCTTTCAGGATCTAATAGCTGCCATTAAACCACCTATTCCAGTGGTCAATGGGAATGCAAATACAGGGCTTAGTGCAATGCCAATGTCTGACAGTAACCTGCCTGGAGCAGCTAGTTCTCAGGACAGCCACACATGGCAGACCTCTGACCCACCCTCCCACAGAATCAAGCCAGCAGAATTCAAGAAGCGATACCAGACTGTTCATACAGAAGCCCACAAGATGCAGCCAGTGGTGGCTCCCTGCCAGGAACAAGCTGCCCTAGGAGGTGGACCACCTCAGTCCCATGAGCCTTTTGTAGCACAGGAACTGCCAATGCCCTCATGTGATACTCGGGTTGCACCAAGGAGAAACAGTCGAATAGGAGACAGAAAGACCCGTTTAGGTACTCCAGGAAAACCCTGCATAAAAAGGAAGTAGGATGACATAGTTACTGTATGGGTTGCTTGTAATAAAAGAGAATGTGCACTTACTTTGTGCTGAGGTATTCAAATCCGATAAGATGTGGGTGGTCATGTGGAGCAAACAATAATGTGATGATCAAGGATGGGTACCAGAGTGAAGGATTTATCACTTGTCTGAAGATGGGGAGCTGTTTGGAGGTGTTATTGAAGTTGTGGTAATAATGCTATCCTCTGATTAGACAAGAACAGCCCAGATTGTATGGTCATTAAGGAGTCCTTGTAGCAAAGGTCACCCTGATTCTCTCCTCCATAATGCTCTGCCTCCAGAACAACTAAGCCCAGCTTCCCAGGCAAATAGCTATTGATATCCAAGTCTATAGTTTTAGATTGCTGTTGTGCGGGCCACAACGAGCATTAAGTATATGGAGCATATGAACTGGAGTACGTCGGACCTGCTACTCTGAAACCCAGTGGTCCTCTCAGTGACCATTCTGGTAAAAGTGCAGACCTTGGTGTATTGCTTCTCACTATTCCCATACCTCTTAGTGAGGTCATTAACCATAGCAGCAAGGTTTAGACAGTATCCCTCAAAGCTGTTATTGACATTATTGTTTAACAACAATGGCAATGAATTACTACATCATGGCAACTACATGCACGTCTCCCATGGAGAATTCTTTTGCATGCTGTTGCACTCAATCTTGGCATTCAAGGCGTGAAAACGCTCAGGGTTTGTCACTGGCAGAGAAGGTTAATGCTAACCATGGGAGCTCGGAAAGCCATGTTGATGCCAAATTAAGTGATATTACAATGATCCTCTGCAATTGCCAAAAGTGACTGAGTTGAGACAACTCAAAAGTTATCATTTTCTCAGTTACAGACAGCTGCCTGGGCCAGTTATCTTGGCTGCAGGTCTTCTTTTAATACCATTCGTCATTCTTCTACTGTCTGCTTTTTGAAGGGTACTCATTTCATAGTGTTCCTTGCTTATATCTGAATAAACCCGTGTAGTCTGTAAATTATTTAAGGAGGGTAATTTATCGCTCAGAAGCTGCCTCAGTCGTCTTCCTCCATCCTCTCCTGCTCCTAACCCGTCATTATAATGGAAAACAATGGAATTATGGGTATCCTTGGGATCTCTCTGCCCCTCAGACCATTAGAAACAAATGTAGTGTCTGTGGAGAAAAGATGTAGATCAATATATCATCCTCCACAAATCTTTCCAGCTCCAGAAACCTGACGAATTTCCTGTCCCTCTTCAGCCTCAAAATTCCCCCAGTCTCAGCTGATCTTCGGAGTATACAAAGTTTCAGAATTTGGTTCTGTGTAAGTCTCAGTATGTTGGAAGGACCAGTTACTGAAATTATTGTTCTAGTCTGCAGGCCTCGTACAAATAGAATTCAATGAACTTCGTTGGGGCTTAGTGGTAGAATGTGGGAGGACCAGCATGTGATCAGGAAATCGGCTTAATTCATTTTGAGATCAAAGAGAGACAGAATTGGCTTAAGCTTTTATGTGAATAATGGTACATCCAATTGTCCTGATCTTGTAGCAGAGAAATAAATTCCCAAAAATATGATAAGGCTACATTTGCAGTCCTGCATACATTTCTGGTCGCACTGCTATAGGAAGGATGTTATTAAACTAGAAAGGGTGCAAAAAACATTTACAAGGGTGTTACCAAGACTGGAAGGTTTGAGATAACAAAGAGAGATAATAAGAAAAGCTGGGACTTTTTTTTCCCCTAGAGTATTGAATGTTAAGGGTAACCTTATAGAGGTTTATAATGTCATGAGAGGCTTGATAAGGTGAATAGCTAAAGTCTTTTCTCTGGGGTAGGGGACTACAAAACTAGAGGGCATAAATTCAAGGGGAGAGGAGAAAAGTTTAAAAGGGACCTGAAGGGCAACTTTTTCACGCAGAGGGTGGTGCGTATATGGAACGAGCTATTAGACTTACAACATTTAAAAGACATTTGGACAGGTACATGGGCAGGAAGGGTTTAGATGCATATGGGCCAAATGCAGCCAAATAAGATTAGTTCAGTTTAGAAAACCTGGTTAACATGGACTAGTTGGGCCAAAGGGTATGTTTCCATTGCTATAAAAATCTATGACTCTATTTCAAGGCCTTTAAGGTCTTTGAGCTTCCATTTAGTCCATGTCTTTACCAGTTCAAATCTTCATTTTTCTAATGCCACTTTAATTTGTCGCTTTGATCCCACTTTCTGTAAATTACAGCACATTCAGAGTGCTCTTTTATGCTTCTGATCCACATTCGTTCCCACACTCGCATCACACCATCCTTTCCAAGCCTCTGTTTGTCTCAGGAGAACAGTTACAGATTTAATATTCACATTTCTAAGCCCGTTGTGAATCCACTCTGCCTGCCCTGATCTCTTAGTCATACATTCATGATTTGTGCACCTTATCTGTCATCGACCGCTGTTCTAGTCAGTACATCCTCATCCTCCTTTCTTATCATTTTTGACTTCAACTTTGTGAATTATTTCCCAGTAAAGTTGTGGATGTTTTAGTAAGGTCAAATATACCGATTCCCAGTAGACAGGCTATGTTTTATGTTCCTTTGAGAATTGCTATTTTTACACAATTTTTGAAGTGTGATAGAAGGATTTCACTGAACTGTCAAAGTCCAGGAATTGTCACACCAATTCAAGATGGGCTATAACTTAGCCACTCTGCCTTCTACTGTTGGGATTTAGTTACAGTGGCCCAATGTCTAGACAGTCTTCTTTGGTAAATGTTTTCTCATCTAAATATATCTGCTGTTCTTTTTCCAACTTAATCGACTGGTTTGATCTCAACTACATTGCTCCTTTGACGTAATTAAATCTTACCAACTGCTTTGGTAATATTACCCTGAGTTATGTTGCAACTTGACTCTCCAGTACAGTACTGAAATAGTATTGCATTGTTAGAGATATTATCTTTCAGGTGAGACATTATACTGGGGCCCAATGAGTCTTTTAAGGTGGATGAAATAGATCCCATGGCATTATTTGAAGGACAGCAAGGGGTTTATACCGAGTGTTCATCCCTCAGTTAATATCACAAAACAGATTATTTAATCGTTGTCACAAACTTTTTCTTGGGACATATTTGATGAGGACAAATTGGCAGGTGTGTTTCCTACATTACAACAGTAGGTATATTTTGTAACTACTTCATTGACGACAAAACATTTTGGGGCATCCATTGGTAGTAAAAAAATACTATATAAATACAAGTCTTATTTTCTTTGGGAGTGCCTTTAAATGTACTTTGTACCCTCTTGGTGTAGTCAAAAAATGAACATCACATGCCCATCTCTCTATCACGAAACTATCTACCTCCAGTCCCATAAAATTGCCTACCATTGAACATACTGTAACAAACCTGTTACTGAAATTCTAATCCATACTTTTATTCTCTTTAGAATCAACTGTTCCAATGTTCTAAGTAAAAGTGAATACTGGAGTGTTCTCCTGAGCACTTTCCAATCTCCACCCATTGTAAACATCACTTCATCTGAAACTCTGACCATATCCAAGTGTCTATCAAGACCCTTTCACCTGTCATCTTCTCAGGGCCATTAGGATGGGAAGTAAGTTTTAGCCTGACCAGTAACCCTCACATCCCAAATCCACAAAAAATAAAATTGCCCTTATTCTTGATCTTGCATTTGCTTCACAATCCCTATTACACAAATTTAAAATTCTCATCCCTCGCTTTAAATCTCAAACGTGGTCTTGCATTCTCTAACTGTAGTCTCTGATAGCCTTGTAACCTGCGTACACATACCTATGCTGCTCACCACTGTACTTTCACCCCATTATTAGATGTTGTGCCATTATCCATTCAGGCCTGGAACATAGTAATTAGGAGCAGAAGTAGACAATTCAGGCTCTTGAGCCTGCACCGTCATTGAATAAGATCGTGGCTGATCTGTTAGTGTTCCAAATTTGACATTCCATCCATCCCAATAACTTTGATTCCCTTGCCTAGCAAGAATCTATCCACCTCCGCCTTAAAAATATTCAATGACCCACCTGCACGGCTTTCTTTGCAAATTTGCACAACCATCTGAGAGAAAGAATGACCCGTAATTTTAAAACTGTCCCTAGTTGTGGGCTCATGCACCAATGAAAACAGTCATTCCATGTCTACTTTGTCAAGATCATTTAGGATCATATACACTTAGATCAAACCACCTCTTGCTCTTCTGAATTTTAGTGAAAACAAAATAATCAGAAACAAAAACAGAAATTGTTGGAAAACCTCTGCAGGTTTGGCAACATCTGTGGAGAGAAATCAGAGGTAATGTTTTGGGTCCAATGAGCCTTCTTCAGAAACTTCTGATGGGGATTGAACCCACTTTGTTGGCATTACTCATCTCCGTCTTATGAAAGAGCAGCCTGTGGTCCTTTGGAACTGTGGCAACTTAACACTTAATTGTAGTACAGCAGTAAACACTTATTTTACACATTGATGGAACAAATGTTTCCTGTTGACAGTCTGAATCACTGAAAAGACATTGTGACTACAGTGCCCATTGTACACTATAAGTTCTACTGCACAGTCAGTGTGGTACTCCCCATTCCCACTCCCAGGGTCAGTGTAATATTCCCTATTCCTGTACCCAGGATCATAGAGTAGAGTAATACAGCATGGAAACAGGCCCTTTGGCCCAAACTGGTCCATACTTACCATGGTGCCCACTCACCTAGTTCCAATTGCCTGCATTTGGTCGATATATTTCTAAACCCTTCTCATCCATGTACCTATCCAAATGTTTTTTAGTGTTGCTATTGTACCTGCGTCAACCACTTCCTGTGGCGGTCCATTCCATATACACACCACTGTCTGCATGAAGAAGTTGCCCCTCAGGTTCTTCTTAAATCTTTGCCCTCTCATCTTAAATCTGTGCCCTCTAGTTTTCAATTCCCCATCCATGAGAAAAAGACTATATGCATTAATCCTATCTATGCCCCTCATTCACCTACGTTCCAAGGAATAAAGTCCTATCCTGGCCCACCTCTCCCTATAACTCAAGCCTACTAGTCCTGGCACCATCCTCATAAAACTTCTTTGCACATTTTCTAGTTTAACTAAGTCTGTCCTATAACAGGGTGACCAAAACTATACACAATATACAACTGTAACATAACATCCCAACTCCTAAACTCCATGCCTCGACTGATGAAAGCCAGCATGCTAACTGCCACCTTCACTACCCTGTCCATCTGTGACGCCACTTTCAACGAACTGTTCACTTGTACACGTAGGTCCCTCTGTTCCACAACACTCCTCAGGACCTTACCATTTATTGTATAAGCCATCCCTTGGTTTGACTTTCCAAAGTGCAACACATCACACTTATATGTAGTGATTTGGAGTTGCCAGTCCTCAGCCCACTTCCCCATCTGATCAAGATTCCTCTGTAATTTTTAATAATCTTCCTTGCTATCAACAATACCTCCTAATTTTCGCAAACTTACTAATCATGCCTTGTATATTCACACCCAGCTCATTTATGTAAATAACAAAGGTCCTAACACAGGCCCCTGTGGCACAGGAGTCACAGGCTTCCAGTCCAAGAAACAACCTTCAACCATCACCCTCTGCTTCCTACCATCGAGCTAAATTTGAATCCAATTAGCTAGCTCTCCCTGGATCCCATGCGACCCAACTTCCATGACTAGCCTGCCGTACGGGACCTTGTCAGATGCCTTACTGAAGTCCATATAGACAGCGTTTACTGCTCTACCCCCGTTTATCCTCTTGGTTACCTCTTCAAAAAATTCTTAGAAGATTTGTCAGACATGACTTCCCGTGCACAAATCCATGCTAACTATCCCTAATCAGACCTTGACTATCCAAATGTTGGTTGATCCTTCCCTCAGTTTCCTCTCCAATAACTTGCGTACCACTGATGTCAGGCTCACTGGCCTGTAGTTCCCCGGCTTGTCTTTGCTACCTTTCTTAAACAATGGAACAATATTAGCCAACCTCCAGTCTTCCAGAACTTGTAAACTTGCTCTCGATGGCTAATGTATTTTCCCCTGACTTCTCGATGACCCCTCTCTTATTCAGAGCCCACCCCCCCCAATCAAACTAGTTTAAACCCTCCCGGGTAACACTTGCAAATCTCCCCAAGAGGATATTAGACCCCCTCCAGTTCAGGTGCAACATATCTCTCTTGTATAGGTCATCTCTACCCCAGAAGAGATCCCAGTGATCCAAGAACCGAAAACCCTGCTCTCTACTCCAGCTCCTTAACCACACATTCATCTGACCTATCATTCTATTTCTACCCTCACTGGCACGTGGCACTGGGAGTAATCCTGAGATTACTACCCTTGAGGTCCTGTTTTTTAACTTCTTACCTAACTCCCTGTACTCATTTTGCAGGACTCCATCCCTTTGTCTATCTATGTCATTTGTATCGATGTGCACAAAGACCTCTGTTCACCCTCCCCATTCAGAATGTTCTGCAACCACTCAGAGACATCTTTGACCCTAGCACCCGAGAGGCAGGACACCATCCTGGTGCCTCTTCTATGGCCACAGAGTCTCCTGAATGTACCCCTCACAATTAAGTCTCCTATCAGTATCTCTCTGTCTTGACTGCACCCTTTCACTGTGAGCCTCAGAGCCGGTCACAGTGCCACCGAGCTGACTGCTGTTGCTAGCCCCTGAAAGGTCACCCCCTACAACAGTATCCAAAGTGGTATAGATGTTATTGAAAGGAATGGCCACAGGGGAACCCTGCACTATCTGCCTTCCCCCTTTACCTCTTTGAGGTCACCCAGCTATCTGCAGTCTGCATCTTAGGATTGACCAATTCACTACAGCTTTTATCAATGATGTTCTCTGCACTCCAGATGATCCTGAATGCATCGAGCTCCAGCTCCTGACAGGCAGGATTGGGGAACAGTTCCCCAACGGCTCCATTTCTTAACAACTCCAGTTCCCTAACATGGTCTGTCAGGAGCTGCAGCTGCGTGCACTCCTCACAGGTGTAGCCACCAGGGAAACTGGAAGTTTCCCTGATCTCCCACATCCTGCTCGAGGAGTATGCCACAGCCCTAACTGCCATCCCGACTGTCTTCAGTCTAGATAGAAAGAAAGTAGAATTAAAGAGCCCTTACCTTTACCCCTGCTCAGCCTCCTCATGCCAAAAATTCTCCAGCAAAGGCCTCAGCACTTCCACTTTAACACTGACCCGCTTTCCTAATGGCTCCTCCCTTGTACGCCTTTACTTTGCCAGTCGTCCTCACAGAGCCCTTTTTCTTTTGATCAGAGGAGGAGGGAGGGTTGGAAGCACCAATGTAGTGTTTCGGCTTTAACCATACCTTGACACCAGGTTCTCTCTGACCTGCTATACAGTCGTGATGACTGGCGATGTCCCCCAGAATTCTGCTGTGATAACTCGGTGTGATACTCCCCATTCCCACTCTCACGGTCAGTGTAATATTCCCCATTCCTGTTTTTGGGGTCAGTGTGATACTCCTCATTCCCACACCCAAGGTCAGTGTGCTACTCCCCATTCCCTCTACTCGACAATTGTCAATGTGATACTTTCCACACCCACTCCCAGGGTCACTTTGATACTCCCAGTACCCTGTCTTACGGTCATTGTGATAGCACCCCTTACACCCTGTCTCAGGAGCAGTGAGATGCTCCCCACTCCTTAATCAGGGACAATGTAATACTTCCCACTCCTTACCTCGGTGATGGGATGATACTCTCCATTCCTTGCCCCAGGGTCAGTGCAAATCTTCCTCTTCTATGCCCCAGGGTCAGTGTGATATCCTCCCACCTTACCCCAGGGTCAGTGTTGTAGCCCCCGTACTCCACCCCAGGGTCAGTGTTATACCCTCCTCAATCCCCACACCCTGCTCTAGGGTCCATGTTATAATTCCCGCTCCCAGTCACAGTGTCAGTGTGACAGTCTCCATTCCCAGCCCCAGGGTCAGTTTGATATTCTCTATGCACTACCTCGGAGTCAGTATGATACTCCTCATTCCTAGTCCCGGGGTCAGTATGATACTCTCATCGCATTGCCCTAGGGTAACGTTATATTCCTCACTCCCAGCCCCAGGATCAGTGTGATAGTCCCAACTCTCAGTTCCCACATCTTTGTGGAAATCCAAATCCCTAGTCCCGGGATCAGTGTGATACACCCTTTCCTCCTTCAGTGTGATGTACCTGACCGGTTTGTGTGCTGTGGTTTACTGGTATCAGAGCTGTATATTTGGATGACCAGGTGCTGCTGCAGTCCTGGTCCCACCATTCCTGTGCTGTTGTGCTTTTTTCCCACATTCATTATGACAGTTTGAGGAAACCACTTATGTCCTGCAGGTGGCAGATTATCACTGTCAGTCCTTCATTAACTCTGAAATGTTTGTATTTTAATTTTTGTACATTATTCCTTCCTGTTCCACTCATCTGCTGCCCTGGTTTATGCAATGTATTTGAAACCATGAGCAAAATGCTGTTTCTTGCAGAATGTGTGCCACTTACAGAAATCACAAAGAGTACCACAGGCTGTAGAGCAAGAGCACTCTAGTATCCTTGGTTCCCTGCACCACTCACTGCAAGGAATGTCACAGCTTCTTTGTAATGTACAGAACGCCTGGTTTGATAGCATCCAGTATGGATTTAATAATTTTATATTTTACCAAACTGCTGGTCAGTACTGTTCAGTGAGCACTAGCCATTTCATTCCCACTGTACATGGGACTAAACTGAGTTAGATGTAAATTATTGTTTAAATCACTGTTTGAAGTGGAGATGCTAAGAGGAGAGACTGAGCAGCTGGCTGAAGCTGTTTAAAGTGAGAAATAAAATGTAAATTGGTTATTGTCATTATCAGGATTACGGAACAAATCAATCATTACAACAAGATCCCACAATTCCAAGATTTTGGATGCTTTATTACTTTGGAACAGTTTCAAGTATTGTAGTGTTTCTTGTTGTGGTTGTCTGTAATTTCATACCTGTAAATAAATTGTAATATGACTTCTAGCCTGTGATCTAATTATGTGATCTTTCCTGTTTTCTGAGCAACAAAAGGTGGCAGCAGCTAGCACAGTCTCTACTGCATGATTGGATAATAAATGGGTAGCTGATAGTCACAGGATACGATTGATCATTGACCACATACAGAAATTTACAAGTTCCAGATCAAACTCAATTGTGGAAACATTTTCTGCTGCAGACTTGACTGAAATGTGCTTGAACAACCACATTGTAAAAACTGGTAATAATACAGAGGAATTGATCTAATTTTAAGCCAAACAAGATTGTTTATAGTTTTCGTTAAAATTCCAAAAGCAAACAGCACAGATTAAGTTCTCAAACAGATAGGGAACTAAAATTGACTGACTTATGAAAAGAAAATGACTCATCACATATGAATGTTACATGCATGAATTGGTGGCTGAAGAGTATGTGAGGACAACATGGTACTATGTAAGCATATTCTTCAATCCTTTTCTCTCTTGTGATTCTCCAGCTTACCGATAAATATATCCATACAACTCACATGAACCACTCTTGGATAAGGGACTTTCATTTGAATTTCCTATTGGCTTTGTAAATGACATCTTATTTACAAATCGCCTGTAGTTACAGTCTCCCCAACAAGTGAAAACATTATCTATACATCTACCCTTTATAACTCTTACATTATCCATACATGTACCCTTTATAACTCTTACATTATCTTAAAGAACTCTATTGGGGCAGCCCTCAATTTTCTCTTTTCTGAGGGCAATATTCCTTCTCTGTTCTGGTATAATTCTAGGCTTTTTGCACCTTCGCCAGTGCCTAAATATACTTTTCTAATTACTTATTCTAATATGAAGACCAACACTGTGCACAGTACTGTAAGTGTAGTTTAACCAAGATTTAATATAACTTCTGCTTTTCAATTCTGTTTCTCAATACATATTTGCTTCTTTACTATCTTATTAATTTGTGTTGGTATTATTAGTGATTTGTATATCTGTACTCAGATTCTTCTGCTCTCCTACTGCTTTTAGATTCCATTTCCAAGAAATACGTGGCCTCCTTACTCTTCCTATCAAACGCGCCATTTTACAATTAATATTAATTGTTATTCATACACCCATTCTACATATTCATTGATGTTTTCTTACAGGTATCTTCAGAATTTGCAAATTCCCGCAATGGTCATGTCTGCATATTTCAAAATTGTTTTTCCAATTTCTGAATCTTAATATGGAGTGACACTGGGTGAAGAGGGTTATATAATGAGAAGTTGCCCAGAGTTAGGTTGTACTCTCTGAAATATAGAAGTTGGATAATTTAGTTGCTGTGTTTAAGATAATTAAAGGAAGTGCTACATATGTAGAGTTGGTACAGGAGGGAAGACTTTAGATTCCTGGGTCACTGGATCCATTTCTGGGAAGGGTGGGACCTTTACAATTGAGACAAGTTGCACCTGAATTGTAAAGGAACCAGCATTCTTGCAAAGGGGGTTTGCTAGTATTTGTTAGTGGGAGTTTAAACTAATTTTATGGGGGAATGAGACACAGAGTGGAGTTGCAATAAGGAGTGATGCATAGACGAATGCAGAAGAAAAATCAAGTCAGTGTGGAAGGCAAAGAGCATAAGTCATCAAGTTAAGGCACAAGGAAGCATGGCAAGAGTGGATGGCATTTATGACAAGGCATTAAGAGGCAGTATGGTGTTTTTACAAGGAGTATGCAAGTAAGGCAGATGAGTTGAGGGTGCTGATTAGCACATGGAGATATGCTATTACTGTCATGGAGACATCGTCGAAGGAGTGGCAGGACTAGCAGCTCGATATTCCGGGAGATGGAATCTTTCCTGAACGGTGTTGTAAAAGAGGAGGTGGTGTTCCAACATTGATCAAGGACTCAATAACTGCAAGAAGGAGGGATGATATCTTAGAAGGTTCTTCAATTGAAGCCATATGGGTACAATATAGAAACAAAAAGGGAGCAACCACATTATTGGGAGTGTACTATAGACTTCCAAAAAGTCGGGGTCAGATAGAAGGGCAGATTTGTAGGCAAATCTCAGACAAGTGTAAAACTTAATGTAAGATTCCAAATTCCAAAGATTAACTGGGATAGACAATGTATGAAAGGCTTAGGGGAGCAGAATTCTTGAAGCGTGTAGGAGAACTTTACAAGCCAGTATGTAGAAAGTCCTACAAGAGAAAGGGCAGTCTAATTTTGGGAAACAAAGCCAGGCAAGTGGTAGAAGTCTCAGTGTTAGAGTTTAAATGTTATAGTATACATTAATGACATGAATGTAAAAGTTTTAGAGTTATAGAGTAATGAATGTTATAGCACAGAAAAAGGCCCTTTGACCCTTTGACCCATTGAGTCTGTGCCAGTCAAAAACAAGAACTTAACCATTCTAATTCCATTTTCCAGTTTTATTAGTAAGTGTGCAGGTGACACAAAAATTGATGGTGCGGTTAATAGTGAGGATAAAAGCATTAGGCTACTAGATATAGACAGGTGAGATGGACAGAACATCAATGGATGGATTTTAATCCTGAAAAGTATAAAGTAATACATTTTGGGACAGCTACCAGGGAAAGGGAGTCCATGGTAAATAATAGGACCTATGGTAGTTCCGAGGATCATCAGGACCTCGATATACATATACATAGACTGTTGAAGGCAACAGAACAGGTGGATAAAGTGGTTAAGAAGGCATACAGAACACTGTACAGGATGCTAGCTAGGCCACAGCTGGCATGCTGTGTACTGTTCTGTTTACCATATTAATGAAGGATGCGATTGCACTTGAGAGAGTGCAGAGGAGCTTCATCATTTTTCCCTGAAAGCTGCCATCCAGGTGGATAGAGTTGTTAAGAAGGCATATGGTGTGTTAGTTTTCATTAATAGAGGGATCGAGTTCAAGAGCCGTGACGTTATGCTCCAGCTGTACAGAAGCCTGGTTCGGCCACATCTGGAGTATTGTGTCCAGTTCTGGTCGCCTCATTGCAGGAAAGATGTGGAAGCGTTGGAAAAGGTACAGAGGAGATTTACCGGGATGTTGCCTGGAATGGAGGGAAGGTCTTATGAGGAAAGGTTGAGAGAGCTAGGGCTTTTCTCTTTAGAATGACAAAGGATGAGAGGTGACTTGATAGAGGTTTACAAAATGATCAGCGGTATAGATAGAGTGGACAGCCAGAGACTTTTTCCTGGGTTGGAGGTAGCTTTTACGAGGGGGCATAGTTTTAAAGTGAGTGGAGGTAGATACAGGGGAGACTTCACAGGTAGGTTCTTTACTCAGAGAGTGGTCGGGCCGTGGAATGCATTGCTGGATTAGGTAGTGGAGTTGGCCTCATTAGGGGCATTTAAGCGGCTATTAGATAGGCAAATGGATGATAGTATAAGGTAGGGATGGAGGTTAGATAGACCTTAGGATTAATGTAAAAGTTCGGCACAACATCGTGGGCCGAAGGGCCTGTGCTGTGCTGTACTGTTCTATGTTCTATCATGATGTTGGCCGAGCTGGTGCATTTTAGCTATGAAGAGAGACTAATTACATTGGGCTTGTTTTCCTTAGACCAGAAAAGGCTGAGGGGGAACTTGATTGAAGTGTACAATGTCATGATAGGCATAGATAGGACTGAATTTTTCCCCTTATTTAGTGGGGTCAATTACCAGAGGAGTTAGGGGATCAGCAGGTTTAGAAGGGAATTAAGGAAAAAACTTCACCCAGAGGATGGTACGTCTCTGGAATGCCTCAAAGTGTGGTAGTGGCAGGAAACATTACAACATTTTACGATTTAACTGAGTAAACTAAATGTAATACTGTATTTCCAAATTTGCAGATTACACAAAGGTAGGTGGAGGGTGAGCTGTGAGGATTATGCAGAGCAGTGTTACCTCTAATTTTCATTCGGTTGCACAGGTCCCTGAGGTCTGTGCGCAGCAGCATCTTGCAGAACGGAATTCAATTACAGCAGTTAGCATGCTGATGCTGATCGCTGTGTGGAGATGCTGCCAGACCTGCTGAGTTCCTCCAGCAATTTCTCTTTTTTTTAAACTTCAGTGTGATTTAGACAAGTTGAGTGAGTGGCCAAATGCATGGCAGATAAAGTATAATGTGGATAAATTTGAGGTTATCCACTTTGATGCCAAAAAAATGATGCAGTAGATTTGGAAAGTGGAAGATGCAGTGAGACCTGGATGATCTTGTACACCAGTTGCTGAAAGTAAGCAGGCAGGTGCAGCAGGTGGAGAAGAGAGCAAACGCTATGTTCGTCTTTATAGTGAGAGGATTCGAGTACAGGAGCAGAGATGCCTTGCAGCAAGGTACAGGATTTTGGTGAGTCCACGCCTGGACTACTATGTGTAGTTTTGGTTTCCTTATCTGAGGAAGAATGTTCTGGATGAAGAGAAACTGGAGAGGTTGGACTATATTCACTGAAGTTTAGAAACATGAGGGGGGATCTCAAAGAAACCTATAAAATTTTAAAAGGACTGGGCAGGGTAAATGCAGGAAGGACGTTCCCAATGACTTGGGAGTCTGGAAACAGGGGTGACAGTCTAAGAATACAGGGTAGGCCATTCAGGATTGAGATGAAGAAATATATCTTCACCGAGAAATATAGACTATAAGAGCAGGAATAGGAGATAGCAAGAACTGCAGATGCTGGAGTCAGAGACAACACAATTCATAGAATCCCTACAGTGTGGAAACAGGCCCTTCAGCCCAACAAGTCCACACTGACCCTCAGAACATCTCACTCAGACCCATCCGCCTCTCACCTACCTAATCTACACATCCCTGGACACTATGGGCAATTTAGCATGGCCAATCCACCTAACCTGAACATCTTTGGACAGTGGGAGGAAACCCACACAGGCACAGGGACAATGTGCAAACTCCACACAGACAGTCACCTGAGGGTGGAATCGAACCCGGGTCCCTGGTGCTGTGAGGCAGCAGTGCTAACCACTGAGCCACCATGGGCCCCAAATGTGGAGCTGGAGGAACACAGCAGGCCA